GACCCCAGAAGCCGCCTCTTCCCTGCCCCCCTCCCCCCCGCCCCCCGCCGGTGTTCGGAGAAGAACCTGTATGTTTTTTTCAAAGTACCTGTATTTTTAATAATTTCTTGGCATGGTAAAAGAATTTTACATTACAATCCAAGGGTGGTGGGGTGAAGAGAAGGAGCAGCAGAACAATCCAAGAAACAGAAAGGGAAAAAGAAATGCTTGGTGGAAGGGATATGAAGGGTGGGTAGGGGCATTGCCCAACTAAAATGCAATTGGTTTGTCACTGAGTACTATTCATGGGAAGACAGCATCCTGACTCCTTCTCTATACAGCATATTGGGAGTAAAAATGATGCATCCAGGTGGAAATATGATTAGGGGTTGGAAGACAGACAGGGAAAGAAGTCAGAAATAGACACTGAGAGAGTCACTGGCTGGCTGGCTGCAAATACTGGCTCTCCAGTAGTGATAGAATAAAAAAGTGGGAGATATCTCTGGAAGATTCAAGAGATAAGGGGCAACTCTTCTATGGTTTTGACTTGCCCAGCAGATTTCCACATACACACGTGTACACGCCTATGTTTGCATGCACACACATATACACATAACTGACTGCCCTCCCTGGAAGCACAGAAGAAGAAGAAGCTGCCAAACGAAGAAGCCGCCCACCTTTGGTCCAGGCACCAGCGCCTGAGGCTGGCTGCAGCCCAGGAGATGGACAAGGTACCCGCCCGAGGTCCCAGGCTGCAGCCACCTGGAGAAGCTGTCAGCCCTGTGGTCCAGGGCGCCAGTGCCTGTGGCCAAGGAAATAGGTTCCCTCTTCTCTTGCTGCAGTCATTACTTCAATATTCCCCTTCTGAATTTCTCTCCTGTGCTGCAACCCAACTCCACTTTTCATCTGAAGGATACGGAACAGAGAGAGCAGTGTTAAAAGCTTACATTTTTAAGCCAGTAAGGTTGGCACTTAAACATATAAATGGAAAACTGGAGTCCTTAAGGTAACAAAGGCTACAAAGGACAGGGACAGCACATGACCTATTATACCCAGCAATCCATATGGGGACTGAAAACTTTGCAATGATGACAATTAGTGAAGATATGAATCAACTAAAATAGTTGATAGGGGCAATTCTTCCATCTTTGAAAATATCTACATCAAATCTGTTTAAATAGATTTTCATCTGCACAATATAACACATTCTGACAAGATCACCACCACCACCAATGTGGTCAGTGTTGTGCCGATAAATGTTTAATAATTGAGGGACACTACCACCCCCCCCCACCCCCCGCTGAGTGCACAAATTTTTGTGCACCGGGCTACTAGTTTTATATAAAATACTTTTAACCTGAAAGGATTCTATAGACCACCAGGAATTCACAGATCATACTGTGAGAATCACTCCTAAAAACTACTTTCATGTCTCCACTCTCCTCAAAATACCCCAATGACCCCATTCAATGCCTATAGAATAAAGGCAAATTTGTTTTAGCGTTTACAATCCTCTAAAAGCCTAGTTCCATCCGCCTATATAATCTCTCTCTCTCTCTGGAAGTACCCCACCACAGAAACCCTTTGCTCAGCCTGACTGCTGTTGCTATATTGGGAATGCATTCCCATCTTTTCACCTTGAGTGCCATCCAAGACTTCTTCTTCCCCAGCCTTTTCCTTTCAATATATCCATACCTTAGTATATGCCTATTCATTTGCATTCTTCTTTCAATAATTAACTGGACACTTCCTATGTTCCAGTTGTTGGGTATAAAAAGAAAGACAAGACATAGTCCTCCCTCACTCTTGAGGAACTCACAATGTACTGAAGAACATAAACAAAAAACAAAGAGAGAAAGGTGTGATCAATCCCCAAACATTATTTTATCATTAACATAATTTTGGACTTCATCTATTTTCTGTTAAGAGCCCATCACCACTGCAGAAGAGGGACTCGTTAACAACAATGAGATACCATCTCACACCTGTCAGAATGGCTATAAACAAATCGACAAACAACAAGTGCTGGTGAGGATGTGGAGAAAAAGGAACCCCCATGCACTGATGGTGGAGATGCAGACTGGTGCAGCCATTGTGGAAAACAGTATGGCATTTCCTCAAAAAATTAAAAATGGAACTCACATTTGACCCAGTAATCCCACTTCTGATATCCCAAGAAATCAGAAACACTGATCAGAAAGGACATATGCACTCCTATGTTCATAGCATCACAATTTACAATAGCTAAAATTTGGAAACAGCCTAAATGCCCATCAGCAGATGAGCGAATTAGAAAATTGTGGTACATCTACACAGTGGAATACTACGCTTCTGTAAATAAGAAAGAACTCTTTCCATTTACAATAGCATGAATGGACCTGGAGAACATTATGCTAAGTAAAATAAGCCAGTCAGAGAAAGAAAAATATCACATGATCTCACTCATTTATGGAATATAATGAACATAAACTGATGAACAAAAATAGATCCAGAGACATAGAAACTTCGAATAGTCTGTCAATCCTCAGAGGGAAGGTAGGGGAGGGTGGGAGTGGGGGGTAAGAGATCAACCGAAGGACTTGTATGCATGCATATAAGCATAACCAGTGGACACAGACACTACGAGGGTGGGGGCATATGCTGGGGGGTGGGAGCGACCAAAGGGGAAAATGGAGACATATGTAATACCATATGTAATACTTTAAGCAATAAATAATTTTAAAAAAACATATTGAATTGGATATTCCCATTGCTTCCTAATAGTTTTGGTTCTTTCTAAAATTGTAGACAAGATTTGTTTCTGTAACCCTAGTAGTCCGGGTGACAGGCATTATAGCCAGGAATGAGTTTTGGTTTCCCACTGGGAGGTCTGGCTGTGTGAGAGCTGACCATGCCATCTACTCAACCTGTTATGTAATGGGAGCCCTGCTCCGGTTTCTCTCACCTGAGGATGGAGCCCTCACTGGCTTTCTTGTGCTGACACCCCCACACTGGCCCTCTTCTCGGCCAGCACTGGCTGTCTGATCCTCCCCTTATGCCACAGCTTCGCTTCTTAGCCTCTTTTCATAACCTATTTTGTGCCTGAAGCAGTCTAAACTTCCCCTTTACTAATCAATCGTTTCCCTCTCATTTCAAGTTGGCCTTGCCTAATTCAAGAACCTGACATGACCATCTCTAAGTAACTCATGGCTGAAATAAAACACGAAGAGATGTCTTATTCACACAAAGCAAACCTACATTTTAATAGGTATCTTATCCCTCAAGTATATCAATTCTATGAAGACAGGAGGTTACTTATTTTGAAATCCTGTACACCATCATCCACTTCTTCACTGCCTTACTTTCCAGGATTAAAGGGTATGACAGCAGGTAAGGTAGATATGGTTAAGGCTAATACCACTTCTAGATTTACACAAAA